GAATACAACCTAAAAAACCCCATGCCTTCAAGATATCAAGAATGTAGATAACAAACTTCAAAATACTTCAAAATTGAAATATAAAAAAACAAATTACAACAGAGTTATCTCTTAAATTTCTACAGTAAGCCTTTATAGAGAGCAGGGAGAGCCCAGAAAAACAGTAGGTGATTAAAGGACCTAAGATTGAACCTAAAAGTAAACACAAAACCTCCCAGAAAGAGAAAGCCCATCCTAAGTGGAAATATATTGAACAAGAGTTTGAGTGGATCAGAGTGCTGTATACAAAAAATGGACTTAGTGTGTAGGATTTGGGGCAGCAATCTCAGAAGATACTACTTATTGAGAAGAGTGCAGTCACTTTGGAGACTGGATGGTGAAGGAGGAAAAGGGGGAAATCTAGAATTTAGGCTCCTTCATGGAAGAGAGAAAAATACTGAGAGATGCATAATTCTACCTTGCACCCTCACCTCCCTGAAACTAAAATAAAAAAAACTGCAGTCCATTATCTGTCATGAACAATGACACAAAAATCCTTAAGTGACTATTAGAAGATCATTTCTAGCAATATGTAAAAAGCATAATGCATCATGACCAAGTGTGGTTCATCCCATGAATTTAAGATTGGGTTCTACATTTCAGAAGTCACCTGTTCAAGATAAAAATTCTCAGCAGACTAAAAATAGAAGGGTTTTTCATAAATAAAGTATATTTATGAAAAACCTATAGCTATCATAATATTTAATTATAAAAGACCGAATTCTCCCTAAATTAGGAATAACATAATAGATATTCTCACTACTACTCAACATTGTACTGGAGACTAGCTAGTCCAATAAGGCAAGAAAAAAAATGATACTGGAAAGGAAACAGTAAAAATATCCCTTTTTGTGGTTAAGTGTGTAGAAAATCTAAGATATCTACATACATGGAAATCTAGAACTTTTTTAATAAATGAGTCTTGCAAAGTCACAAAATACAAGGTCGATATACAAAAATAGATTGTACTCCTACATACCAGTCATGAAAATTGAAATTCAAAACAATATAATTTATAATAGCTTGAAAATATGAAATACTTAGGAGAAAATGTAAGAAAATATTTGTAGGACATGTACACTGAAATTACATAGTATGGCTGGAAAATTAAAGCCTAAATAAATAGATTTGAAAAAAACAAAGACTGACTTTAAATTTTATAGGGAAATGCAAAGGATCCAGAATGTCAAAACAATTCGAAAAAGAAGAAAGTTGGAAGACTTACATTCTCTAATTTCAAGAATTAGAGCTACAGTAATCCAGACATTGTGGACTATCCAGCATAAAGACAGATACATAGACCAAAGAAAATAGAAACCCTTTTGATACAGCCATATATATGATGAATTGATTGTCTACAAATGTGCCAAAATAATTCAATGAGGAAAGAACAGCCTTCAGCAAACGGTGCTGGAATAAAAGCTGTCATCTCTACCTTAAAAATCCACTTGAAGCAAATTATAGATGTAAAACCTACAACTGTAAACTTATAGATGAAATCGTAAGAATACGTTTTATAATCTAATGTCATAGCTGGAGAATCTGAGTTTAGGAAAGCTGAATCTTTTATAAAAAGGGCTGCAAGCAAACCTTCCTGACCTTTGCCCTGGAGGGATA